CCACCGGCCAAAACAATGGCGAGAAGAAAACAGGCCGTACAGAAAAAGGCTCTTACATATTGAAAAGTTAGGAACGCTGAAAATGTTTTCAGTAGAGAACATTATGATTCACCTCTTATAGGCTGTGGTGACCTTAAGATAACTGTGTATCTGTTCATTTAGTTAAAAACAAGACCAGCGCATGGCATAAAAATATATAAGTACTGCCAGACGTTATAAACTAAAGTTACCCCAACACTAATTGCAGTGAGCGCTTGAGAATGATTTCGTCCATCATCAGCAAACATATGCCTCCTTTCCGAGTACCTCTCCGGGGTCACTCCGTGCAGAAAGCCCTCAACCTGCCCTTTGCACTGATGCTGTGATTCTGTAACGTCTCCAGACGGCACATGCCACGGTCTTGCTAACCGCTGTACACTGTCCTGTCACAGGCATATGAACTAGGCCCGGCTGGTAGACAGTTACCAGCTTTCCATTTCTTGATTATTAAAAACAATGATGCACACAGCCCTGTGTGTGTGTGTGTGTGTGTGTGTGTCCTTATGAGTCTACCTACTGGATAAGTTCCCAGCAGTAAAACTGTCAGGACAAAGACACATATATTTTAAACTTGGGTGGATACAGCTAAACTGCCTTCCAAAGTGGCTGCTCCAATTTAATATTTTCTATTGATTAGAAAGACAGAGAAGGGGGGAGAGAAACTTCAATTTGCTGTTTCGCTTATTTATTCATTCATTGGTTGATTCTTATATGTGCCCTTCTGCAGATCGAATCCACAACCTTGATGTATTGGACGGTGCCCTAACCACTGAACTTCCCGGCCAGGGGAGGCTGTTCCAATTTATACTCGCAACACCACAGCAGCTGGCCTCACACCTTGATTACTGAGGACAGATTTTCATCTCTTCTGAGAGAGAGATTGAGTTTCTTCTTTCATGTATATCTATATCTATATATTCATCTATATGCCTATATCAGCCGTGGGCAAACTATGGCCCGCGGGCCGGATCCGGCCCGTTTGAATGAATAAAACTAAAAAAAAAAAAAAAGACCGTACCCTTTTATGTAATGATGTTTACTTTGAATTTATATTAGTTCACACAAACACTCTATCCATGCTTTTGTTCCGGCCCTCCGGTCCAGTTTAAGAACCCATTGTGGCCCTCGAGTCAAAAAATTTGCCCACCCCTGGTCTAGGGGCTTCCTCTCTGTTGCCCTAACTCAGTGTTCCCCAGAGTTCCCTTAGTCATGAGTCAGCCAGACTCCTCCCCCACCTACTGAACCATAATCCCCAGCACAGGACCCCAGGAAGCTGGCGATTCTCATGGGCTTTCACTTCCAGTGACTCAGTAAGTCTACTGGGGAGAAGTATTTTAGCAGCTACCCAAGAGCTTCTAATGCCCGGCCTGCTGCTGTAGCACTCCCTGATTATTGGAAAATGTCTGGTTATAAATTTGTCTTGAAGACTAGGGCTGTGGATTATTCATCTTGTAGCCCCAAGGCCTCCCGGGCGCCTGGCCTATAAGAAAGAGTGGGTGGAAAGGTAGATGAATTGATCATTCTTTTCATCACTGTTGACGTTTTTATAACCAAGCGGAGTTCCATCCACTCAGCACTGCAGATATAGCCAATTACTCTGACGCGGGTGCAGGGAAAGAAATTGGTGTTTATTGTATAGCACTACACAGGGGGACCAGGCAGCTTGTGCTGGAAAATCTGAATTCCCGATGGTTTACAGACAAGAGGTTTTATAGAGCAGAAATCATGAGTAATCGTGAGTAAAGAGTCCAGGGTTGTGGGCTGTGTCGATGGTCAGTGCCTACGCAAGCTTCAGCACTCTGACTGGCATCCTGTCCAGGTCTTGAACAGGGGAGGTCTGTAAGACATCTTGGGGTTGTGAGTCAGTGACAGTGAACAGAGCTGTACATTTCATGCTTAACAGGTTATATTCTTCTGTTATCTTTTATTTAATTGATTTTAGAGCAATGAATGGAGAAAGAGAGAGAGAGAAACATCAATTGGTTGCCTCCCGTACATGCCCTGACTGGGATCAGACTCAAAACCTAGGCATGTGTCCTGACCAGGAATTGAACCTGCAATCTTTTGGTTTACGGGATGACATTCCAACCAACTGAGCCTCCCAGCCAGGGCCCTTCTCTGTTATCTTAAGCAGACATATATACATTTTGCAACTTGCTTTACAGGCAGGCTACAGGCCCCAGGACACAAATACATTCCAGTGCAGTTATGACTCTTTTTTTTTTTTTTTTTTTAATATTTTATTGATTTTTTACAGAGAGGAAGGGAGAGAGATAGAGAGTTAGAAACATCGATGAGAGAGAAACATCCATCAGCTGCCTCCTGCACATCTCCCACTGGGGATGTGCCCGCAACCCAGGTACATGCCCTTGACCGGAATCGAACCTGAGACCTTTCGGTCCGCAGGCCGACGCTCTATCCACTGAGCCAAACCGGTTTCGGCGTCTCTTAAGAAGAGCTAATTTCATAACTAACTAAAGCTACATTCTAATATATCTAATCTGCTATGATTTGGCCCAGACAATTCTCTGTCGTGGTCTGTGCACTGCAGATGTTTAGCAGGGTCCCTGGCTCTGCCCACTTGATGCCAGTAGCACCCTCACCCCCAGTGTAACAATCTAAATGTCCCCAGACATTCCCAAATGTCCTCTAGAGACAAAGTCACCTCCAGCTGAGAACCACTGTTCTAGATGTAATACCTACCGTCCAAATCTGAGCAGGCTGTGCTTCCTGGACCAATAGAGAGCAATCTCTGTATTCCTTTTAAACTCTCTGTTCCCTTTACCTTAATTTTCCTTCTAGGTGCTCTGCTTAGAAACACTAAACAACATAGTAAGCACATTAAGCCTGGAAACTGTGCTACCTGGTCCCGATTGCCCTTTCTGCCTCTAGTCATATATTTACCCACGGGCTCAGGGGTGTTGTGTCAGTGTAGGACACTGTCCGTACTTTTCAGTGAGTCAAAACAACAGAATCAAAACATTCACAAGCCAAAAGGAAGTTAGGACCCACCTGTGTCAGAATCACCTGGGGAGTTCATTAAAATACCCACAGCACTGAGCCTGGGAATCCGCATTTTAACAGCACTTAACGTTGGAGAATTCATTTCGATTGGGGTGTATAGAGTCTCCAAATCTGACTACATATAAGAACCACCTAAAGAGCTTTTTTAAATCTGATTTTTAGCCTGGCCCTGGCAGAGTCTGATTCAGAAAGCAGAGCCTACAAGTCCGCACAGTTTCATCGTGTTGGTGATGTTAATTCCCAGGAGGTTTGGGAGCCGTCGTTGGCTTCCATCTTCCTTTACAGACAGGCAGGCTGAAGGCAGAGGCATGACATGGCCCGTCACCGAGTCTCCCATCTCCAGCCTAGTGATCATATTTTAAATATGTAATGAAGAGCCTGAAAAAAATAAACTTAATGGAGCTTTTTCTCACTCTCCCAGTCTGTGAAGATGAGGTGTTCTTTCAGAGCCCGCACTGGAGTTCAGCAGTTTTATTGGTGATACGTGTTGATCAAGACATAGAAACACAAGTTCCCATTCATTGCATTCTGAGTTTTCTTTTGTTTTGGTTGCAGTGGTTGAAAAGTATGATTATGTGTTTCCAGAAAATGGCTTGGTGGCGTACAAAGATGGGAAATTCTTGTGTAAACAGGTGGGTTCTTGAGTATCCAACTACTGAACCGCTGTCTACTACTAGTGAAATGTTTTCCAAAAAGGTATTTGACACGGCCACCTCTGGGGAGGTACATTTGGGAGCTGAGGAAAGGTGGGAATGAATCTTCGCCCTGTATATTTTTACATTTGGAATGTTGAATCATGGAACTGTTACATATTCCAAATTGTTATCTATATTTTTATAATTGTTTTTTAAGGACACTTAATCTAATATTTCTGTTGTGATAGCAGAGGCTGGGTCAAACGCCCTCACTACAAGCGTATTAAGAAGTTCTATGTACTTAATACTCTTGTCAATATTAAGATCATTCTGTTCAAATACAATATCTGAGAAAGCCACAGTGGAACAAATATATTTTGTGTATTTTGATTGAATAAAAGCAGCACCAATAAACTCTGTGAGCCTTCCATGAAGCATTTGAAAGATAATGAATACAGAAATCTTGACTAAGGAAGCAAAAAATGCTTTTGACTGAGCCCTTTCCGGTTTGCCTTAGGGCAGTGATGGTGAACCTTTTGAGCTCAGCGTGTCAGCATTTTGAAAAACCCTAACTTAACTCTGGTGCCGTGTCACATATAGAAATTTTTTGATATTTGCAACCATAGTAAAACAGATTTATATTTTTGATATTTATTTTATATATTTAAATGCCATTTAACAAAGAAAAATCAACCACAAAAATGAGTTTGCGTGTCACCTCTGACATGCGTGTCATAGGTTCGCCATCACTGCCTTAGGGTCTCAACCAGAGAACAAAGGGAAAGAAGGGAAAAGGTGGTGGAGGCGTCATCCTCGCTGCCACATCAGCCGGGTGACCCTGACTGACAGTGGCTGACGATCATTTTAAAAGTGCCTCCCACTGATGAAGTAACTCCAGTGTCTTCTTTATCCTAGAGTATCCAAGGTCACTTGGGTGAGGCCCTAATCCAAGACTTAATCAACTACTGTCTCAGCTACATTGCAAAAATTCAGCTCCCAAAGAAGAGGTGAGTTTGCTTTTCGCAGAGGCTGCCAGGAATGTGGAGGGATGGCATTGGGTGGGTTGGTGCTCTTTTAAGAATCCCTGGAACCCTTCTGTAAAGCCAGGGGTAGAAGAATGAGTATGCAAATGATGGCACGTCCACTTGATGGAAATTGAAAAGAACATGCTTTCAGAGGCGACCGGTAGGGGAAATGCCTGTGAGTCAGCAATGTGGAAAAGCAACATAAACCCCAGGCCGGGAAGTCTCAAACTGGAGGCCCGCAGAGCAAAGCCCACACAGCCAAGTTTGCTTGGCCCACGGTTAAACCATACCTGGATTAGCTGCGAGCATCTAAAAGTCTGATTTCACATATTGGAATGTCTGGATTTCAGGCTTTTGCTGCACCTGAAGACCCGACAACTGGATGCCCACATAGCAGCACTCCCCTGCCCCCACCCCAGTCTTTCACAGGCCACTTCTCCCATCTTTCTGACTTCTGCAGGCATTGGGTTTAGGGACCCACCTCTTGGATTCTGTTATCTCAATTCCCATTTTTATTTATTTTAACTTTTAAATAATTATTGTTTTCAGAGAAGAAGGGAGAGGGAGAGAGAGGTAGAAACATCAATGATGAGAGAGAATCATTGATCGGCTGCCTTCTGAGCACCCCACACTGGGGATCACACTCCCCACACTGGAGATCGAGCCGGCAACCGAGGCACGTGCCCTGACTGGGAATTGAACTGTGACCTTCTGGTTCATAGGTCGACGCTCAACCACTGAGCCACGCCGGCTGGGCAAATAACAATAATGTACATACATGCCTACAGTTAAAAAATTGGCGGGAAATGGACACTTGTTAACAGCGGCTGTATCATGGTGGTGAAGGTACAGGTGATTTCTTTGAAAGACTTTTCATTTTATTTTCAGTGTTCTGCACTCTATATTTAACACCTTAATGATCAGAGGGAGAAACATTTTTAAAATGGCATTTAAACTTCAGAGCAACACTGCACTTTGGTTACTCCTCATCTGAGGATATTTTTTCCATTTATTTTTAAAGAGAGTGGAAGGGGGGGCGGGGGGAGACAGAGGGAGAGAAACATCGATGTGAGAGAGACACATTGATTGGCTGCCTCCCGCACAGGCCTCCACCTGGGCTGGGGTTGAAGCCTGCAACCAAGGTACATGCCCTTGACCGGAATTGAATCCGAGACCCTTCAGTCTGCAGGCCGTTTCTCTATCCACTGAGCCAAACTGGCTCGGGCGGCAATGCTGCACTTTAAAGACTAGCAGAATTGATGGGACAGGTGCCCCTGCTCAGCACCTCCACTGAGAGGGAAGGGGCTTCCCTTTCCACAGGGGTCTCATAGGATGAGACGGGCTGGACCCAGCTTGCAGCTGGGTGAGGGCACGTGGGCATTCATTATCCTGCTCTGTCTACTTTTGTGTATATTAGAAATTCTCCATAGTAAAACGTAAAACTGCATCTTACATCCCAGGCCAGCTCAGTCTTTCCGTTAAGCATTAAGGAAGGATAAAAAAGGCAAGCAGAATCCTGTCCTCAGATAGGTGTCACCTCAAGAGGGAGATCTGTGTGCGGAGCAGCAGTTCTGAATTAGCGTGACATGGTTGCTGAATTCAAGAAGCAGAACTGAGACCCAGCTTGATCGGCCTTTGCCCACATTTCTCAGCAGTACTAGCTGTCGCAGTAAGACTTCGGTGCGGAGTTGAATGCTAGGCAAACCGCCTTAATCCTGATTTTTAGGATAGAAGGCTTTCTAAGATGTATCGGCTTCCCTTTGTGCCATGGGAATAGAGCAATACTGTCCCTGAGTTGGGGAAAATTAATTGAGCTCTTTTTCTGACAGTTTAGGACCCGCAGCCCTAGGGTCGCCCTGGGAATGGTCCCCAGTCCCCTACCTCCCAGTGTACATGTGGAAGGTGTAGGGGACATGGCTGGTCTGCACCAACTCCAGGACCCCTGGGGGGGGGGGGGTGAGAGAAAGTGTCCCAGGTGCACTGCAAGGTAGGCACAGCCGGGGAGAGGAGCTGGGGGCGCAGTGTACTGTGAGTACTCACTGGTTCCCAGTATGCAGATGACTTCTGCATAAACTGGAACGTGTGGTTTTCACAAGACCCTTCAGAGGTAACCAGAGTGGGTGCCAGTAGCCCCTTTCTGAGGCTAGAGAGGGCCCAGAGTCGCCCAGCCCAGTAAGAGGGGCCTTGGCCTTGCACAGGGTCCTCGCTCTGCACGCGGCCTGTGTCCTCAGCATTTACAGGTGGCGCTGGCTGGACATCGGGGCTGTAGGGCGGGGATAGCAGAGGGTCCAGGGAGAAGGAGTCAGCCTCACAGGCATCCCTGCTAGAACCGGAAGACACTTCAGAGCACACCGTCTGTAAACAAAACACTTCGGTCTCATTTGTCAGAATAAATAGCTTACAAGTTACTTGAGTTTTTAAGAAACTCTTTTTGAAATTCAAACTGGAAACATGGTGGGGAAAAGTGCTTTTTTAAGAAACCCCTTCATTTAAGGTAACTTCAAAAGGGTCAGGCTGTTCTCATTTTCTGTCAGGTCAACCCGTCAGAAACAGCCCGCCAGTGGGTGACGAGTTTCCTCAGTTCCTGGGAGTTTGTGGGTGACCCTCAGAGCCTTTTCCTGGGCCACGTTGCTTGGTAAAGCAGTGACGTTAGGAGGTCCCTGGCAGAGTTGTCTGGGACATACATTTTCAAACTCCTCAGGGAACTTTGAGAGCTGGTCATCATTTGTGTTGACTTTTAGATTCTCTGCCCAATGCCAGCCCTATTGAACAGAATAGAATGGGAGTTTAGGATTTCTGTAGCCACATCAAAATAGAAAAAACAAAGGAACAGGTGAAATTAATTTCAGTGTTTCATTTAGTCCCATATATTCAAACTGCAATTATTTTAACTAGTGAACATAAATCATTATTATTGATGATTACATTCCTTTTCCTACTAAACCTTTGAAATCGAGTCTCAGTTGAATGAGCTGAATTTCCAGGCTCACAGCGGCATGTGGCTCGTGGCTGCCAGGAGGCCCCGCCCAGCGGAGCGTGGACCACACCAGCCTCTGCCTTTTGGAATCGCCCAGCTTTTCAGCCCGTCTGTCCATCTAGAATGTTGCCCGAATGGGTGATGTACCTCTGTCCCCTTCCTCTCCAGGGGCACTTTCATCGAATTCCGGAACGGGATGTTAAATGTGTCTCCTATTGGACGAAGCTGCAGCCAAGAGGAACGCATTGAATTCTACGAGCTCGATAAAGTGAGTGTTTCTGAAGCATCCTGGGTCTGGGAAGGTAAGAGGGGCCACGTCCTGGCCACAGTTACAGTGTGCAACACAGTAGACAGCCGGTGTCTTTTTGTCTTTCTCAGAAAGAAAACATACGACAGAAATTTGTAGCAGATCTGCAGAAAGAGTTCGCAGGAAAAGGCCTCACGTTTTCCATAGGTATTGTATGTTCAAGCTTTGCCGGGAGTGTGTGGTGGGCGGGTGCGTGCCTGAAGTTGGGCTGTGCCGTCTGCAGGGGGGCAGGAGGACTTCAGGAGCAGTCCATCCGTAGGAGAAACCCACTCCCCTGTGTGATGGGCCCGGCAGAGACTTGCCCTGCTAGGTAATGGCTTCCAGCTGCTGGGCTGGGCTCTAGGTTCTCACCCAGCAGGAGCCCTCCTCCCTGCATTTCTCCTCCTGGTCAGAAATAAGAGCACCTTGCATAGTAATGAAGAGTAAGAACTTCCCCTCACACCTGTGGGCAGCCAGGCACCTTAGTGAGCTCCATAGCAGAGAAGGGATGGGAGCCTCTTCGGTACATTAGACTGAATTAGATGTCAGCTCGGTTGGTTCTGTAAATGAAGACACTGAGGCCCAGAAAGGAAAGGCTTTATTCACGACGATGGACCAGCACGCGGCCGTTTCTGGTGACTGATGCACTCCTTCCCACGCTCATGTCTCAGGCTTGTTTTTTTGGTAGAATAAGCCTGTCAAATGCTTCAGGCAAGCCGATCTCCCCCGTCAGTGCCGATCTCTCCTGTCAGTGCCGATGAGTCATTACTCAAAGCCCTCTCATTTACTAGCGCTAATGAATGTGCGGGTTGTGGGGAGACTGGGACTGCAGAGGGAGTATGTGTAATAGATGAGTGGGTGGGCTTTTAAGCATTGTCGAACTGTGAGATGAACACTGTTCTGACACAGCTTTGAAAGGGTTTTTGTTGCGGTGAAAGCTGCCTGTAAATCCCCTCCCCTGTGATTTTCATTGTCCTGCAAGACGAGCTGGATGCAGCCGCTTCCAGGCATTCTCCACTCGGAGCTGAGGAGCTGAGCGAGTGGAAGCTGGAGGTCAGCACCACTGAATGGGGCTCTTACCAGATCTCCCCCAGCATGCTTCACTCACTGACAGACCAGCTAAATGCAGTGCCCCCCTCGCTCTGCGGGGTCCTCTGGGTCCCACTTTCAGGTTTTAGGTGGAGTAATGTTGGGAAAACACATAAGGTGGAATGAACCTCTAGAACCTAGCCCTAAAGGAGTGTAAGCAGCGGCTCGAGGATCCAGTCCATTGCACACTCCTTCCAGTGACACGTCGTTAGCCTCCCTCTCACCCTCAGCTTGTGTGTCCCCTCCCCACTTGGCAGGAGGCCAGATCAGCATCGATGTCTTTCCTCATGGATGGGACAAGAGGTACTGCCTGGGACACGTGGAAAAGGACGGCTATAAGACCATTTATTTCTTTGGAGACAAAACCATGCCAGTGAGTATGGAAGTGTTTTTGCGGTTTCATTGTTTGGTTTGGGCTTGAAGGGAGGAAATGGACAAATGGGCGTTTTCCCTTCACCCACACATTCCCCAGCCCAGCTCAAACTGAGGGATGCTTCTGTCCTCCGGAAGGGTGTGATTAGGGTGGTTAAGGCCCCCTCCCCTCCCTGCTCCGACACCTGACACCTCAGTGGAGGTAAGAATCCAGTGAGCCTTCACTTTGGCTTTTGAATTAAATATTGCCCTCCTCCAGTGCCTTCCAGAACACCTGACCCAGGGCTGCTGTCAAATCCTCTTCGCATTGCAGAGCCCTTGCCATTCTTTTTTCTCCGTATTTTGTTTCCCAGAGGCATTCATTTCGGTTCCAAATGATAGGAGACAAGGAGTCTGGAATTTGGGAGGAGGTGGGTCAGTCCTGAGCATCACACACAGGGTACAGGAGCCCCCTAGTCCAGGACTGACTCTAAGCTGGAACTGAGAGCAGAGCCCGGTGTTGAAGGGCAGTGCCAGCAGGAGGAGTCCCTGGCGGGCATTTCCCCGGAGCCCTCTGGCAGCCAAGCAAGGCTCTCCTCAGGACAGGCGGGTGCCAGGACATTGTCACCGTGAGGCCCGAGGGAGGCTCAGCGCCAGGGGTTCCTGCCCAGTCTCAGGCTCAGCGTCTCCCTTTAAATTCCTCTCACCCTCTGTGCCCTTCCGTGGTTACCTTGCCATGGGGCGTCCTGGGCCGTACTGCACGCAGCAGGTGCATCATAAATGCTGCATAGGGAGTTTTTTAGCCCTTCACTCTCTGGTCCCCTCCAGAATTCTTGCTTCCTTCAGCTAAGATCTATCCCAGGTGGCCCTGCCTTTCAACATGAAAGGCACTTCTGGATATATAGTTTCGTGTCCTTTCTGAATGATGAAATGGAGATTCAGAAAGGGTAAGTAACTTGCCCGAGCTGGGAGCACCAGAACAAACTCCCTGCTCTTTTAAGAGTGTGCTTTCCCGTCAGCAAACCCTCTCCAGCGAGTGAGAAAGGTTCTAATTCCCAAAGGAACGCGTTCTTTTCAGGAGGCGTATCGGCCAGCCTTTTCCTAATGACAGAACCAGTTTCTGGTCACATCCCGCACCCAGCACTCCGGACGCAGCGGTGCTTTCAGTACCGGCTTTGGGAGAAGTTAGCTGATGCAATGACCCCGAGGTCTCAGGAATGGCTAGGAGCTTCTTCAGTCCTCCCATGGGCGCCGTCTCCTCCAGGCTGAGGAGAGAGCTATCGGACAGGAGAGAACACCTTTCTGTGAGGAGGCGTTCTGCTGTGCGTTCCAGGTCCCTCAGCTGGGACTTGGCACAATGCAGCTTAGTTCTTGAACAAGTCAGAAAGTGACTTCCCTTGGGAGTTCTTCATTTGTGAATTTGTTTCCTAGTCTTTTTAACTGCTACATCGTCACACATCAATTGTTTTTCTAAATCTTGCCTGCTTTTAAGAAATGGATACTATTTTTAATGTTTTTATTGATTTCAGAGAGAGGAAGGGAGAGGGAAAGATAGAAACATCAATGATAAGAGAGAATCATCATCAGCTGCCTCCTGCATGCCCCCTACAGGGGATCGAGCCCGCATGTGCCCTGACCGGAATCGAACTGTGACCTCCTGGTTCATGGGTCGATGCTCAACCACTGAGCCACACAGGCCGGGGTAAAAGTGGATATTATTCCATGGAGGTTCCCCCACCCTCATTCTTAAGTCATAAGTATGGAGAAGAAAGAATAAGTCACCTGTCGTCACAGCTGATGTGCCTCCCAGGCTTTCCTCTCTGCACAGATATGATCGCACATGTGGGACTCCTGCATGTTCATTGTTTACTTCCTGCTTTTGTTCTCAAACCATATTTTATTTCCCCCACGTTAGTGAGTCTTCTCTGCAAACAAGATGTTAGTGGCCATTTAACATTCTGTCATTGGAGCGTAGTTCATTCACCCGTTTCCCTAGGAGAGGCGGCTTCTTGCTGTTGTAACGAACACTGGTCAGCGCTCTCACATCATTCTTTGCCCTCAGCTGTTCCTCTTGTCAGTGGTTTCCTGGAAATGGGAGTGAACAGTCCAGCATCTCAGCCTTTTAACAACATGTCGATTCTTAAAACTTTAGGCACAGAGCTGTCAAATACTAGCTTTAAACACTGTTCACATTCGGGAATAGACACTTTGAAAGCTGTTTTCTCTCTGTGTATCAAGGCAGATGTTTTTGCAGCTTCCAGGGAAGTGGCACCTGAGCTAAGAAGCCATTTCCCTGCCGAGCACCCCAGGCTCAGACCTGCCTGCGAGTCCTCTGACGGGACCGATGCTGCACCAGGGGTGCCACCTGCTTTGGGCACCTCCAGAGAGCAGAGTAAAGGACGAGGCCTGGGCCTTGCTTTTCTGAGTACTTGTCAGCTCTGGAAACCCCT